TAGGATGTTGGTGGAAGATAGGATGCTTGCGGAGGGTATGATACTTGCGGAGGGCAGGATGCTTGCATTGGGTATGAAGAAGCTGAAGGATCAACAAAAGGATCAGCAGCAACGGGTTCAGGATTTTGAATTGTTGGGTTTTGAGCTCTTGTATTTTCGGCAGTTTCTTCATCAGAGGAGTTTCTTCTTGAGTGTTCCTTCTTCTTCAGATACATGATAGTGAGAACCAGAGCAGCTATAACATTAATGGCTACCGTGGCATTATCGTATTCCGTAACAGTGTCAGTAAATGCAAAACCCGAGTATAAAACATCATTTATCTCATACTCGTTTATCGTGTAAGATCTAAAAAGTGAACAGGAAACTAACCAGTCGCCTGTTAGTCCTGTGCTAAAGTTGATGACAAATGAGCCGACAAATGTAAACAATGATCGAAGTACTCGTTTGTGCATGACAGCGGAGGATAAGATGGTGACGATTATTGAAATTACCAACAGAACTAGCCAGAATCCAATTGCTTTTTCTTGGCAAAATTTGTCAAATCCTCCAATGTAAATAGACTTTGCAATAAGACACTGAACAAAAACCCCGAAAAGAATTATTTCTGGGTCAGGCATATTGTTATTTTCGTAAGATGATTTGCTTTTCACGCAGGTGATGTGTCCAAACATCATCATACAAGCTACTCCCATGACCGGTATCGACCCCAACATGTAGTAAAATTTGCTCGTTGCGATGAATCTGTAGTAGCCAAGCGATTCGTCCTGGTAGGACCTAATGTAGGAGCTATTTATATCCCCAGATAGTTGTGTGACAGTGGAAAACGCTGTATAAAATCCAAGATAATCTCCATGAAGGTTGAGAATGAGAGATACAAAAAATGTATACATCACATTTTTTTTCGTTTTAATGTTCGTCAAAAACGTCACCACTGAAGACAACCCGAAACAGATAGCCCAAAAGAATACAAAATGCATTTTTTCGGGTAGATAAATATTTCTCGATATTATCTTTGTCACGGCAACTTGTATAAGAAATCCCGCCAGTATCATATGCACAGTCGGAATTGCCATTTCTGGATCTGAAAAAGTGGTGTAGGTTTAAGGTGTGGAATGTGGATACAGCATTGCGAATGGACTGTATACCCACAATTATGTTATTCATATTATTATTTGTCAGGCATGAATCAGGCACGAATAAAAATGGCACAATTATAAACTTTATCGTTATATTTATCAATAAGTCTTTTTGTCGGACAAAATTCGCAACAAAGCGATTTTAACGGGAAATGGTCGGGACAGGTCCCAGGAGTCATTCCAGAGAGTTCCCAAAATTGCTGGCTTCAGGAAAATCCACAATTACCACTTTTTTACCACCTTTTTACCACTTTGGTTTTCCGCAAATAAGTCACGTTCTGAACATCCTAGAAGATTCTAGTTTAAAGCAGTGTGTTTAGAAAACACACTGGTCCAAATCCGAAAAGCGTCGGAACACCTAGGAGTAGGGGAGTGGTAACACCACAGGCCAACTAATACCTCTCCGTCAATGACATATTCGACAACCAACACATCTCCACTATTGTAAATTTCGCAAACCGCACCAAACCGAAACGCTTAATTGTGCCAGAGGAGCTGGACCAGACTGGTGTGACATAGCGACTACTCACACATCGTTTTGGTTCACCTTTCTCTTCCACACCCAGTTGCCACTTGAGCGTTCATAGACGACACATCTTACAAAACTTACCATCATCCTACATTACACATTCCGATTCCCCCGGCATCCTCCCATAGAACTGCCATACCCCAGAGGTAGGCAAAGCATCCACATGCTATCCTCTCGTGGGCAACCCAGACACAGCCTCTCAAAAAAAACTTTTAAAAAACTGCTGCAAGTACAATAGTCACATTCTCACGACTTATCACAAGGGCCCACAAGGCACATTCCTCATTCCTATTAGATCAGGCGGAGGAGACCGGGAAATGTTTTTATTTGTATGCGGTGAACAATCCAGTCACTCGGAGTCCTAATTCAACTATTCTATTACTCAAACAAAGATATCAAAGAAGCTGATGTCTGCAGTGTGATGTAATACATGATAGTTTAAAGTGTGTTAAAACAATGTCAATACGACATATGCTGAAGATACTCACAAATCAGGACTCACGAGTAACATTTATATTCTGATGCTCTTGTATAGAGCGTGAGTAATTTAATTTGGAATCAGCTGCACTTAGCATTAATAAACTCGTGATGAGTTGCCATATAGCAGTTGGAATCAGCGAGTCTCAAAAGAAAAAGAAGAGTAATTGAAATCGAAACTGGTAATAATGGTAACCAAAACTAAGCCACTCTGGTAATATTCGTACTGTCACCTTTTCATCCCATTGTCACAACATTCATGCTATTTCAAAATAGCAAACACATAAAAGAAGCACACAGAAAACTATGGACGAAATGAGAAGCAGACATGTAGTATAAGAAATGTATCTTAAAACACGCACTTCTGTTCACACATCATGTAACCAAGGTAACAGATCATCAAACATTCCTCACTCGCTCACACACCGTGTCTCTCTCTCTCTCTCTCTCTCTCTCTCTCTCTCTCTCTCTCTCTCTCTCTCTCTCTCTCTCTCTCTCTTTCTCTCTCTTTCAGTCTGAATTCTGAATTCACAACTCCTAGCTATAACAATCAGACATTTCAGTGTATCACATTTCACTTTGATCGTAAATAATTAAATAAAGTTCCAGCAACAGACCGATTATCCAACCAGGGAGCAAGGAGAAAGTGAAGCAGCCAATAGAAAGTGTTTATGAATGTCATGTGACGAATAAGTAGAGCAGGTGTCGGTAGTTTTATAGCTTTACAGGCCAGGTTGTACTTGTACACTGTACGTACAGTGGCGTACAATTTATCATGTCGACCAAATTTTCCTCCAGAAACTGCAATTAGCCAGTCAACTATAGATGGCATATGACACAATTGAGGTGCTGGAAGTTTGATTCCGATCGGAGGAAGTTGAGAGGAAGCTTCCTACAGAAAATTCATATTTTCCAAATTCTGTCCTATTTTCAAATATGACAATTTCTGAACGGTAATTTGCCAGATTTGATGAAGTTTTTGCCCAATGATCAATTGGAAGTCAAAATTTCGAAAAAAATGGAAAATCGTTTTCTCCCATTTCTTGTCCTGCATTCTACAGAAAGTTTAACAAAACAAAAATTCATATTTTCCAAATTCTGCCCCATTTTCAAATATGAAAATTTCTGAACGGTAATCTGCCAGATTTGATGAAGTTTTTGCCCAATGACCAATTAATCGGTTAACTGAGGATGGTATAAGACCAAATTGAGGTATTGGAAGTCAAAATTTGACTTCAGTTTTTGAAGACGAAATTTCCCCGACCGAAATTTTACAGTTTTTACCGATTTTTGCTCCAAAAACCATGATTAGTCTGCAGAAAACTATAGATGGCATATCACACAATTGAGGTGCTGGAAGTTTGATTCCTACAGAAAGTTCATAACAAAACGAAAATTCATATTTTCTAAATTATGTCCCATTTTCAAATATGAAAATTTCTGAACGGTTATTTGCCAGATTTGGCGAAGTTTTTGCCCAGTGACCAATTAGTCAGTTAACTGAGGATGGTATGAGACCAAATTGGGGTATTGGAATTCAAGATTTCGGAAAAATCGGTTCTCCGGGCATTTCTTGTCCCATTTTCAGTTTTTGAAGACGAAATTTCCCCGACCGTAATTTTACAGTTTTGACCGAATTTGCTCTAGAAACCAATTAGTCAGTCAAATATAGATGGCATATCACACAATTGATGTGCTGGAAGTTTGATTCCAATCGGAGGAAGCTTCCTACAGAAAGTTTAACAAAACGAAATAAATTCATATTTTCCAAATTCTGTCCCATTTTCGAACATGAAAATTTCTGGACGGTAATTTGCCAGATTCGGTGAAGTTTTTGCCCATTTACCAATTAGTCGGTTAACTGAGGATGGTATGAGACCAAATTGAGGTATTGGAAGTCAAAATTTCAGAAAAAATGGAAAAATCGTTTTCTCCCATTTCTTGTCCCATTTTCAGTTTTTGAAGACGAAATTTCCCCGACCGAAATTTTACAGTTTTGACCGAATTTTGCTCCAGAAACCAATTATTCAGTCAACTATAGATGGCATATTACACAATTGAGGTGCTGGAAGTTTGATTCCGACCGGAGGAAGCTTCCTATAGAAAGTTTAACAAAACGAAAATTCATATTTTCCAGATTCTGTCCCATTTTCAAATATGAAAATTTCTGAACGGTAATTTGCCAGATTTGGTGAAGTTTTTGCCCAGTGACCAATTGGCAATTAGTTGGTTAACTGAGGACGGTATGAGACCAAATTGAGGTACTGGAAGTCAAAATTGCCGAAAAATTAAAGCTTTAAAAACCAAAATTGATATTCCAAAATGACGGAATTTATTACTTAGTTATCTTAATTTATGAATATTGGATGCCATGACAACCATTCGAGGTACAAATTAATTAAAGTCAAATTAATCCCGGAAAAGTCTCAACAGTTAAATGGAAAATCACTAAAATGTATTACCGTTAGAAGTTAGAACCTTTTTCAATTTTCAAGTCTGAATCAGTATAACTATATTCATGCAGTTATGCAAACAGCAAACCAATTATAGTACTTTTCGTGGAAAATGACTTACTCAAAAGACAAAAACTTACTTGTTCTTTTTTTCTCCTTTTGTCGAGGCACGTGATCTTAAACGATTTCCCGTTCAAATTTTGACGAAACAATTTAACTTGTGCAAAATAAGGGAGAATTTCATAAGTTTTGGATGGGATGTATAATTTGTTCAAGAGATATAGAGCGCGCCTTTTTGTTGATTGTTAATTAAATTTATGTTTTGATACTTTCTTTACCGAACTTTATATTTTAGAATAAATTTTGATCTCCCATAAACCATTGACTTAAAATAGTGAAGACACGTTTCTATTCATAAAGAGTAATGAAAATAATTTGAGCTACAAAATTAACAAAACATAGCATTGCATATCGCATCCTAATCGTGGCATGCCAAATCTTAACTTGGACTTTAATTATAATGGATTATGGTACATCATGCATTAGAAAATCATAGCAACTTTAACAAAACTAAATCATATTCATAATAAAATTCATAAGACTATACTCATTATAATCATTATAATGGGTTTCGTATAAGACTATAAGGTCGACAGTTCCATTACTTGTTGCCACGATTGTCAAGGTCCTTAACCTTGTATATCCGCACAATCCAGTGCTCGGAAGTGAAGGCTTCCTCCAGGACGTCCAACTCGAAGTCTTTGTTTCCGATCTCCTGGTTCCTGACTCGGTCCCAGCCAGTCGGCTTACCTTGCTCTGTCATCACCTCACCGAACCTGCAGGGGATTAGTTACCAGTTAGTTAACAATTAGTTGGTAATTAGTTAGTAATTAGTTAACATTAGTAAGGAATTAGTTAGCAATTAATAAGTAATTAGTTAGCAATTAGTTGACAGTTAGTTACCAGTTAGTTGGCAATTAGTTGCCAGTTATTTACTATAGTAACTTTTATAGTTAAGTTACTTTAGTTACCACTATAATTACTAACTTGGTTAGTTTAAGTTTAGTTATTTTAGTTTATTTACCTGTAGTAACACATCTTGTACATAAGAGAGTTATGCATAGCATCTGAAGCGTCTTTGTCTACTTTGTACTCTCCAGAACTAGAGTAATAATCTCCTTCCTTAATGTGGGCTCCTGAGAAAATACATTATTCAGCTCCTTAATGTGCACTCCTGAGATGAAACATCTCTCAGCTCATCTGACTATGTCTTGAGAAATACAATAAGAACTTTTTATAGTTCATTAACTGCCAAAATCGGTTAGTAGAATTTGTTTCTTTTTGTTGTTGATTAGAGTGGGAAATTTACCGACTATTTCGGTAATTAACAAGTTATTAAACTGATTAGCTACCTTCAGGGGTGCTGCCACCAATTCTAATCATCCAAAGGAACTTGTTGATATCGTCCGAACTGTAGCCAGACATTCCACCAAATATCACCAAAACGTAGTCCACGTCCAATTCCTAAATATAACGATGGTAAGTCGATCAATTTTTTACAAGGAATAAGATGGTCGAACAAAAGGCTGATAGCGAATAGCCAAAAAAAATATACACGTGACAAATTGGCTGGTAGTATAGAGATATGACTAAATTTGACTAATTGATTCACAATACCTTCATGATAGTGTAGCTGTGTTCCTCAGGACTTGCCATGGCTTGCCCCACCCTGGATATATGCGTGTTATTCCAAGTGTTGTTGTCTACCAGGATGGTTCTATTAGCCATGGCAGTTAGCTGGTAGCCGTAATCCCACCAGCTCATTATCTTAGCATCCTCCGGGGTGTTGAACTTCAGCCAGTTGTACGCCTCTCTGGAGGGGAAATAGGGTGAGTTTATGGAGGAAACATTTAAATACTAATAGGAGTGTCATACAGGGGGCAATAAATAGTAACGTAGCTGAAAAAAGCTAGTCATTTGTTCAAAAGCAGAAATTTGTTAAATTGTTGGCCAGACGCAATGCAAAAGCATGCAAACAAGAACACAATAGGGGGGGGGGGGGGGGGGGGGGGGGTGTCATGTCCGTCTATGTCCGCCCATGTCCTGTCCTTTTTGGATTCTATGAGACAACGGACGTGTTTTTTGGGACATGGGCGGACACGGACGGACATTGGCGGACTCGGACGGACATTGGCGGACTCGGACGGACATTGGCGGACTCGGACGGACATTGGCGGACCCGGACGGACATTGGCGGACTTGGATGGACATTGGTGGACATTAGCGGACATTGGTGGACATTAGCGGACAAACATTTTGAGGACTGAAGAGTACTGAAGAGTACTGAAGAGTACTGAGGAGGATGGCTGAGAAGGATGGCTGAGGAGGATGGCTGAGGAGGATGACTGAGGAGGATGACTGAGGAGGATGACTGAGAGGGAGGAGAAGGATCAGGAAGACCCAGGAAGAGGAGGAGGACCCAGAAGGAGGACCTAGGAGGAGGAGGAGGAGAACTGAGGAGGATGACTGAGGAGGAGGAGGACTCAGGAGGAGGACTGAGGAGGACTGAGAAGGAGGAGGACTGAGGAGGATGGCTGAGGAGGATGGCTGAGGAGGATGGCTGAGGAGGATGACTGAGAGGGAGGAGGAGGAGGAAGAGGACTGAGGAGGAGGAGGAGAAGGACTGAGGAGGAGAAGGAGGACCCAGGAGGAGGACGACCCAGGAGGAGGAGGACCCAGGAGGATCAGGAGGACCCAGGAAAAGGCCCCAGGAGGAGGAGGAGGACTGGGGAGGAAGAGAACTGTTGAGGACTGATGAGGAGGACTGAGGACGAGGAGGAAGAGTAGGAGGAGGACTGAGGAGGGGAGGAGGAAGAGGACTGGGGAGGATCAGGAAGACCCAGGAGGACCCAGGAGGAGGAGGAGGAGGAGGACCCAGGAGGAGAAGGAGGACTGAGGAGGACTGAAGAGGAGGACTGACGATGACTGAGAAGGAGGAGGACTGAGGAGTACTGAGGGGGATGGCTGAGGAGGATGGCTGGGGAGGATGGCTGAGGAGGATGACTGAGGAGGATGACCGAGAGGGAGGAGGAGGACTCAGGAGGAGGACTCAGAAGGAAGAGGAGGAGGACTCACGAGGAGGACTCAGGAGGAGGACTTAGGAGAAATGAGAAGGAGGGCCGAGGAGAACTGAGGAGGATGAGGAGGAGGAGGACTGAATAGGAGGAGGAGAAGCAGGGGGACTGGGAGAGGACTGGGGAGGAGGAGGACTGATGAGGAGGATGAGGAGGAGGACCCAGGAGGAGGAGGACTGAGGAGGACTGAGGAGGACTGAGGAGGATGGCTGAGGAGGATGACTGAGAGGGAAGAGGAGGAGGAGGAGGAGGACTGAGGAGGACTGAGAAGGAGGAGGAGGAGGAGGACTGAATAGGAGGAGGAGGACCCAGGAGGAGGACCCAGGAGGAGGACTCAGGAGGAGGAGGAGGACTGGGGAGGAAGAGAACTGTTGAGGACTGATGAGGAGGACTGAGGACGAGGAGGAAGAGTAGGAGGAGGACTGAGGAGGGGAGGAGGAAGAGGACTGGGGAGGATCAGGAAGACCCAGGAGGAGGAGGAGGAGGAGGAAGCATCTAAATGTTATTTCCATTTTTGTCCGTTTTTGTCCATTTTTGTCCGCTCTATTTTTTGTCCGTTTTGAAAATATAGGGTACCGACCGGACAAAAAACATGATCCCCCCTATAACAGCAAAAATTGAACATTTTATTTAGCAATTTAGGTGTCCATTAATGTCCGCCTATGTCCGCCTATGTCCGTCTATGTCCGCCTATGTCCGCCTATGTCCGCCTATGTCCGTCTATGTCCGCCTATGTCCGCCTATGTCCGCCTATGTCCTGTCCTTTTTGGATTCTATGAGACAAGCGGACATAGACGGACGTGACACCCCCCCCCCCACAATATATAATTATAACATGTCAATTCTCACCTGAAATCGTCGAATATGATACGGTTACCGTCGTGTCCCCTAGCAGCCAAGACGATGGAGGGAGAAGAGTAAGCCTCACTTGTAACCCAGGTACAATGGAACACAAAGGTGGTCAGGAAGATGGCTATTATCGTCACCATTACTGTGGCAATCTGGGAGAAGAGAGTGTTTCTGGTGAGTCGGAGGTGTAATATTTCTTGAATAGACCTACCCACAGCTGGGAGGTTGGTTTGATTTTAGCTTATGTAAGTTTTATAATAACATGAACAGTTGTGCTGACGCTAACCTCAGACTTGATGGGGTAGTCAGCTGCCTTCTTCTTGTTTTTAACCGTAGCTGGAACATGTTCCCCGGAGTCTATATTCTTCATGTAGGTAGATAGCGTAGTTGAGATTCCTGCAAGAGAGAACTGTTATTAACAATATAACTGTACCACCGTACAATTCAAAATAATGGAGTTGATCGAAAAAGCATGTTTGATTGATATCTGGATGGCATGAGCTATAACTGTATTCTCCCACCAGTATAATAACAAGCGCCGCATTCCTCAACTACATACCAATTCCACTCATTATGCACATGATAGGAGCAAGTACCAGCATAAGACGGACCATCACACCAGCAAAGTAGATACTGGTAACTGAGTACAGGATCACGAATATGTTAGCGTCACTTAACTCTCTGAAGGGAGGGTCTGTTAGTTATTTAGTTAGTTAGTTAGTTAGTTAGTTAGTTAGTTAGTTCTGTGTTCACTAATAAGAGGGACCCTACTGCCTAGTTTCTACCATATCATTTGCCTTACTTACGTAAGGAATATATGAGGCTCAACATTTCTCGGCATAAAATACATGTGGTGGACGGTGGTTCTACAAAGACAGTAAGCTACTGTTTATTAAACGCTTTAATAAAAATAATGGACTATGATGAAACTGTTAACAAACCTGAAGCAGTAGTACAGTCCAACAGGGAACATGAAGACCAGGAGTTGGAGATCAAAGTAGAAACTAGCCCAGGTAGTAGGCTGATGCTCTGAAACTGATGCAATGATGGGGATGTTGTTCTTAGCGTAGGAGGGGTCCAGGAGAGAGTAGAAACGTCCAGTCCATGGGGCGATCTTTCCAAAGAATGATGCAATACCAAAGGACAATCCTGTTAGGTGGATAGATGACGAAAATTACTCCAACAGTTTATCAAATACAAGAGTTTAATAATTTGAGTTATCTAGACTCTTGAAACAGTATTAACAAACTTCTACAGTATTAACTAAAAACTATGAACTCTGAACCAAGCATACTGGTTGACAGAGCCCCTAAAACTCACCAGCAGCAGTAAGACCAATAGTCATTACACCCCTGAACAGCACGTTAAAGCTAGCAGGACTCATGTTAGCTTGGAGGTAGTTTACAAACGCCAGGATCTGACACAAACCGAACACTCCCAGAGCTGCCATGTGCTCGGAGGTCTCTACTGGAGCGAACCCTACGAAGGGGATCTGCATGGAGAGGATGGTGCCCACACTGTACGTCTGAAATAAGAAGGATTAGCGGGAAATTGATAGATTATGTGTGGTTCTGGTGAAGGTAAATACGATGAGAAACTTGACGAGCTGTGTACTGCCGAATCTGTGGTTACGGAACAGATATAGCACCAGAAAAAACTTACGATTGAGTAAGCGACGTAAATACGGTGAGAGAATCGTCCGGTAATCATGAGAGTCAACACGTGGAGAGGAATGAGGTTTATCAGGAACACGTAGCCTCCCCAACTTGACACCTGACGGTTACTACGGTTACTTTTCCAGGTAACCTTGGTTACTTAAAAATTATTGAACAATTGCTGAAATCAAAGTTTTTTGTTTGGCTATATTTTATCCATTGAAATTTCATAATGGCTAGTTAAGTGATCGAACTGACCAGAAACTTGTTCTAACTAACCATGTAGAAGTAACTTGTTCTAACTAACATGTAGAAGTAACTTGTTCTAACTAACCATGTAGAAGTAACTTGTTCTAACTAACCATGTAGAAGTAACTTGTTCTAACTAACCATGTAGAAGTAACTTGTTCTAACTAACCATGTAGAAGTAACTTGTTCTAACTAACCATGTATAGGTAACTTGTTCTAACTAACCATGTAGAAGTAACTTGTTCTAACTAACCATGTAGAAGTTACTTGTTCTAACTAACCATGTAGAAGTAACTTGTTCTAACTAACCATGTATAGGTAACTTGTTCTAACTAACCATGTAGAAGTAACTTGTTCTAACTAACCATGTAGAAGTAAGCAAGAGCACAGAGCAGACTCCAGCTGATGGAGCCGGTTTTGGTAGCCTTGATCCACAGGTAGTAAGTCAACAACATACAGAATATAGCAATACCTGAACACCAGTATTTGTTACTCATAATGGGTAAAAAACGTAAATCGTTTTCCTATTTTTTTATGGGGGAAAAGATTAGGCCCTTCAATTGAGATTTGTAAAACAATTCGTATATTCAAAAATTAAATACTTCAATTCTGACAGAAAAGAACATACCCTCGTTGTCATAAGATCCAGCAACACTCCTAGAGATATATCCAGGAACAATTGCTATCATGGAAGCAGCGACTAGTCCAGCGCCATCGTTTTTTACCTCTCTGAAAAGGAGTTGTTAGTTTGGTGATGGATGATCGAAACATCTGAGTTTCAATCGTGTTTCATTCAAGGGTATATTTTTGACCATGCGAGTTCGACCAAGGCAAAATTTAGTTTTACTGACAAAAATTGTCGTCGCATTACTCCTGACTTCCGTCTAAGATCAACAGTAAACTTTTCTGCTCATCCTTGTTTACACTGTGAGAAAGCGTGCGTTTAACAGTTAAACAGTTTAACAGTGACTAACTTGGTAAGGAAGTATACCACAATGACGGTGAAGGAGGAGAAGAGCGGCGCGAGGAAAACACAAACATTCCTGATATTGATGGTAATATTGAGGAAGTTGAGGAAGTTAAAGAGACAACTGGCTGTAACCATCAGACCTGAGGGAAGGAGAAGGTTAGGATAACGGGCAGGGCATAATTTGATGGTTATTCTTCTCGTTTATTATGTTGTATTCAGATCAATAATCAATCGTTATTATAATATGACAAAGGCAAGTAAAATGGTTCTAATTTGTGTGTACCCTGAATAATTATTAATTTCATCTCAGAACTTGATAACAAACCTGGGTAGATGGTTCCACCAATAATACGTCCCAGAGGATACCAAGCTCTGTCATCAAACCAGTTGTGGAAATCGTAGTATCCATTTTCTACCAGCCGTTTAGTGGTCCGGTAGTTGAAATACCTGGAAATATTGAGCTGTTACATAAAAATCTTTCAGTTAAATTACATAAAATATTTCAACTTGCAGAAAATTTCTGAAAGCCGTCGTGTCGATGGTTTAGTTTTGAATAGAAATTTGACGTACTATTTAGTTTAATCTGGCGTCAGGTGTGGACCCATTCAAACGGCTAACGAAATCATCCGTATTTAAAACTAATTTCTCCGACTATTAATCAGATTGCATTGATTAAGTTGTCGAGTATAAAGTTTGATTCACAGCCTCAATCTGTTTAATTCTGTAGATATGTTTTATGTAACCGCCCTACTAGCTCTACTCGGTTTAGCAGCTGGTAACCTTCCGGTTGACGAGGGAGTCTTGTCAAACCCACAGGAACTGTTAACTTTATTCTCCCAATACCAGCGCGCTTTCCCTCGTCCTAATGCTCCCCTCTCTGAACAGCGCTTCCGACTGAAGCTCTTCAATAAAGCAGCCAGATTTGTGGTGCAGCAGAACAAGGAGCAGGAATGGAGAAGTGCATTGAACAAGTTCTCTGATTTGACTGAGGAAGAGATACGAGGATATGAAGGGGTGAACATGACAGCCTCACTAGACTTGGAGCACATACCTCAGCAACCCCTTTCAGCTGACTACAAGTACCCGGAGGAGTCCATGTGGTTGGGCAGCACTCTAGAACCTTCTAACCAGGGGAACTGTGGCTCGTGCTGGATATTTGGCTCAATCAGCACACTTGAAGGACGATATCACCTGCTGTCAGGGAAACTGAAGAAGTTCTCAGAACAGCAGATGTTGGATTGCGTGTTCGCCTGGAGAGAAGATAAAGGATGTGGGGGTGGAGCTAACTACTGCACTTACAGTTACCTCAAGAAGGAGGGTATTCTAGTCAGAGCAGCTGATTATCCAGCCTATCAGGCTAAAGAGAACGAGTGTAAGATGGATAAATACAAGGATGGGCTGATCTCTGCCAAAGTAACAGGTAATCATCAATCATGAATGAGGTTTTCAAATCCATATTTACTTACCATTCTGATATTAAAGGGTCCTCTGAACTTAAGGCAAAACTTTGACAAACAGTTATGAGTTAAAATATTCAGGTTGGATATACACCCATCCCTCGGAGGAAGGGCTCCTTGTTGCTCTCTCTCAAGGACCTACAGCAGTGAGTTTCGAAACAACACCAGCATTCCGGGCATACTCCAGCGGGGTGATACGAGACAACTCCTGTCTTGGTGAGATGACCACACACGCTGTGGCAGCTGTGGGATACACTCAAGCTTACATCCTGATCAAGAACTCTTGGGGACGGGAGTGGGGAGAACAGGGCTACGTAAAGTTCGGGAGAAACCACCATGGCTGTCTGCTCTTCACTAAACCCATCTACCCAGTGTTGAAGAAAACAGGGGCACGTGACACACAGGCAAGTGACCGAGCAACGAGTTACAAACCACGAGAGGAGGAACCTGAACCAGCTCCAGTTTGTAAAGACAACTATCCTAGTTGGTGGTGCAACAAATCTATCTGTTCGAACAAGAACAGGGCTAATGACTGCATGAAGACTTGTGGACGATGTGCTGTTGATAAGGATAGTTGTCCCAGGGGCGAATACATGTGTCAGGATGCTACTTGCAATGCTGATTGTTAGGTTTAAAGTATTATGATGTTTGATGACTTTTAGTTGAAATTGTGTCCTTTTTCAAAATTTGAAATTATGCTTCCTGTTTTAGCTATATGCTATCTTAATTGACATGTCTCACAGTTTGGAGTCAGCAATTATAAAAAATGCCCTATAAGTTATAATATAATTAGGATATATTCTAGATTGTAGAGTCACAGTTCACACCACGATGTTGTCAGTCTATCGGACGAATTTATATTATATCTGAATTACGATCGGAGGAGGGCCAGGGATCGGAGGAAGAATTCATAGCACAATGCACATGGGTTCTGATCGGCCAATAGGACGTGGACGTTCGTAATATAAACTTGAAGCGGATAGAAGCATACATTCATTTACTTCCACATCTACTATGAACTATCTAGTTACTCTGCTTGGCTCAATTTCACAACAGAACAATCGGAAATGATTCATTAAGCCACCGCTTCCATCGAATATCGATCCGACCATCAAATTTAATTTATTAAACGTACGCGACGTCGCGTAACATGCATGCTCATTTGAAATTTAATTAATCGATCGGATACGCGCGCGAAACGCGCACCGCCTGCACGTACTCCTAAATATCCTGTAAAATGTTCTCGCGCGTTCCATTTGGTATATGAATACGTGTCACAATTCCGTCTAGCTGTACTAGCTGGGGATTTGGTCCCCGTACTTCAGCAAAATATAAACAAAAATAAAAAAGGGAAACAATTACTCACGGATCAAACTCGTGGATAACACTCTCAAAACGTAGCACAGAGAACAGCCTCGCAGAAAACGCTGAAACAACATTTTAGAAACAATTGTTATACTCTCGAACAATCTACAACGACTCAATTACAAAATGAGTCTTAATAAAAAACACATATTTTTTGTTATGCGAAAATCAGAAAGTAAAACCGAATGTAAAGAAAGTTCATACCTAGAATGCAAGCAACAGACAGAATAGTCATCTGAATGAGAGTCTCTTTCTTGGCTTGAGACAAGCTATTTAGACCAATAGCATCCAGAAAGGAGCGTGCCTTGGTCATCCTGTAACCTTCGAGCTAATGGGTTGTAAAAATTTAATTAACTGTAAGGTTCCTTTTAACAAAATTAAAGAATTAAAATGAATGTTACACGGTGTCAATTGTTTCCATTATAATGAATAGAGATCTTTGAGAGTCAATCACAGTAGGACTTAAATAGTAAGTGTTGAAAATACACTGGGTAAGAAAAATTGTGGAAAATTATCATAAAATTAGCTATATCACAATCAATATTATTACAAATTATAATTTAAACAATAGTTCGCATTCAATTTAGCAATCATAGGAGCACTACCCGAAACAACACACTCGTCTCATCATCTTTACCGAGGAGAAACATTATACATATCATTAACCAACTTGGGGGGGGGGGGTGTAACCCAAAAAAACCCAAAAAAACCCAATCCCAGTATGACCTTTTTCAGGGTAGGAGTTGGGTTTTTTTGGGTTTTTTACAAATTTTTCATTTGAAGGAAATAAAATCATGTAAGCACCTAGCAAAACAATTATCAGTACAACATCACTGTTGTGGTTTATCACTACAACATCACAATAGATATAATCACTTAAATATCACCCAAAAGCAGTATTTTATTCACTGATGTGCTCAGAAGAAGTTGGCCATCCAGATATGATATCAGCCATATGTAATGCTCACTTCGATGGCCATAGCAAATTGAGTTAGTAGGGACGCAACTCACTGATGAACCCAACCCTGACCGCAACCGGTACAAGACGAATCATCCGCTTAACATGAATCCATGCTCTATCTCCAACTGAAAGAATCTTGCAGTTACCATCAGCTGCATGATCACAAGTGATATTAAGTGATATCTTAGCTTCTTTATGGCCCTGGAGTCGCTAAAATCTTGACTGGGATGGCATTCGATCTCGCCCTCCATTGAGGCAAACCTCAACAGCCGTATCATGATGCAGAGCATCACCATACACAGTTACTATTTTCGCCCATTCCTCTGATGAGTCAATATCCTCCACTTCCTCTTCTTCATCATCTGTTTCCGCTTCGTCACTCTCTGCTCCGTCAGAAGATGGTTGGAAAGCCTCTCCTTCAAAGTTACAGTGTTCTTGAAGGAATTCTCTACCCCTTGAGACTCCCTTCTTCATAGCTTGTAACAATCTTGGGATTGAAGCATCTTTACCTTTAAATAGTTTCTCTGCTTTCGGATGCGGTATAACAAGCTTGTTGCGAGAGTGGGCAACTGTTACAGGGATCAAACTTTTGCCGAGTGCATCAAGCTCGAGGGAACGGTTTGATTTGCCCATGCCAACCAACATATCCTTAGAACATAGATTAGTTCTAATGCCTGCATGGAGGCCTATGCGCAGGAAAGCATAAAGTTTGCTCGCAGGCATCGGATGTAAACAGCCAGGGCATAAAGTGTTGATAACTGTTGTCAGCTGTTACACTGGGAATGTACAGCATCAGACCCTCGACTGTAATAATCGCATCATCAAAATTTTTACAAGTATGCAGGTGGTCTTTCAATGGTTGTGTGAAGCTTAGGTGGCCCAATGCGTCACCGCTGGATAGAAGCTGGGTGGAAGCCCTGGTCTGATGTGAGGCTCCCAGAACTTTGAAAAGGGGTATCCTGCTGGTGCCCTCTTCCAGACACTCATCGGACAGCATGATGAAAGCCACTACCTCCGCGTGGTGAAGACTGGATACTGGACAGGGGGTCCAGGCTAAAGGCAGGACGGTCGACGGGAGACATTGAGCCCCGGAAGTTCAATACTTTGATCTATTGACTCCTTAACTCTTGGTCTGCAAAAGGCTTTGAGACTCGTAAATCTTTACTGTGGATTACACAGTAGCTAAAGAGGTGTTGGCTGTTACCCTGTTCAACCTAGTCTACTATGACCCAGCTAGACTGGACCACACTCTGGTAGTCAGGATACGGCTCCCTATGCCCGGGGTACCGGGTAACAAGGTAGTCAGGGGAAGGGTAAGTCCCCGCTAAAGTGTAGCTTTGTTCTCACTCTAACCTCCTTATACTTTGGGATAAAAGCGGAAAGTCCCACACTGGAGCAGGTTACGATTGGGTAAGGATTACAACTGATGCTGTTGGGTAGAAAAAGGAAGTGTCACATTTGTCTTGTATAGCATATATGCTCGTGCAATTACATGCTCAAGATACCCAAGATATTATGGTGAGAGTTAAAGATGGCTATTGTTCAAGCAGATGTCCTTAACCTTTTAGTGGCGCAAGGGTTAAGAACACAATCCACTGCCAATGTGCAGGGGACTGCACAGGGTTGTGAGCGAACTGAAAAGTCAAGATGAAGTTTACCAACAGCTCAAGGGTTAAAGCCCCTTATTTTTCTAGTGAAAGTGGTTGCCGGGTTAATTACTAATTACACTGCTATTAAAGAAACTGATGACTCGGTCTCTACAACACGACAACCTATTTCTACAGAAAGTCAAACAAGAAAACATCAAAAAAATATGAACATCAATTGCATTGTATCATGTAAAAGGGCTGCTCAGGTTGGCACGTTTAACATAAGAACAGCCAGAGAACAGCACAAACGCATCGAACTTGAAGAACTATTTTCTCGAAGCAAGCTGCACATCCTTGCCCTGCAAGAATCGAACATCGGGTAGTGCATGCTGATTGCTGAGAATACCAGAATAGAAAAGATGAACAAAGGGATTCATCCAGTGATCTCATCTGCATGGTGAAACGCAGCTGGCGCTTCTAATGGGAGAGTAGGAATCATCTTGACGAGGACAGCATATGAGGCTATAAGTCTTATAAAGTTATAAAATCTTACAGCGCAAGGATCCTCACCATGTCTCTTAATGGAAAGCCCAGGCTCACTGTCATCACATGCTACAGTCCTTCAGAAGCCTCATCTGATGAGGAGGCAGGAAATCTCTTTTGTCTAAAACCAAGCATCTTACAGTTAATTTAGTAGGAGAGGAGCCACACACAATAATTTCTAAGGACGGACATGCCTTAGAAGAAGTTGAGGATTTTAGTACAACGGAGCACGACTTTAGGTTACGCAAGGCCAGGGCATGGGCTGCCTAGCACAAAATGTAGGCTATATGGAGGTCCAATTTGCGCCGAGATTTAAAGATCCGTCTGTTCAAGCTACGGTTGAATCAATCTTCCTGTATGGAACGAAAACGTGGACAACAACAGAATCTTTGAAGAAAAGAATAGACGGATGTTACAGTAGAATGCTTCGGATGGCCCTAAACGTGGACTGGAGAGGACATCGCACCAACAAGGAGAACTTTGGATCGCTCCCAAGAGTTATTTCGAAGATACAGGCCAGAAGAATGAGGTTGACTGGGCACATTCAGGGACATGAAGACCTGGCAGCCCACCAACTTCTCCTTTGGGAACCTCGCCACGGGACCAGAGGGCGGGTCAGACCACCGCTCACTTTTGTCAACAACCTAAGAAGTGACTCTGGACTCAAGAACACTGGGGAGATTAAGAAGCTTGGGACGGACAGAAAGCTTTGGAGACACATCATCGAGACTCGGACTCTGAAGCCGCCTTAAGTCAAGTAATTGAAGTCATGTGCTTTGACTTGCCCTTGACCTTCGTCATAGCCTCCTTCCATGACAGGAGAACACATTTGCCACATTTGCCACATTTCCACTTTGTGCATTCATATAGATTATATCTCGATGAACGAGACATCCTGTTTGCTATCGTGATAACATACTATCAATATAAACACACTTATATACTATGTAAACTATCTATTAAGTTATGACATGAGAACAACACGTAGGTAAGACTCAGTGGGAAATAATTCACATTCAATGCAATTAATGAAATGGCTAGAATTTTGTTTAAATTTTGTTTAAAAAACCCAAAAAAACCCAAAAAAACCCAATCCCAGTATTACCTTTTCTTGGGTAGGAGTTGGGTTTTTTTGGGTTACACCCCCCCCCCCCAACTTCAACATACAACAATATACTTCTCATTGAGATATTCGTATAACAATATAAAACTACTGACAATATTAACGCTGTTAACAGGTACTGTCAATGTTCATAAACCGTTAAAGCTAGCCGACATAGCTTTTAAATCACCCAACAGATGTAATAAGCTGTGTTGTTATACTGAACTTGACAATCACTTTATTTTAGGTTTCTGAAGAAAGTATTTGAAATCTGCTCAATCCTCGTTAGTTTCAACTGTACATTTCTTCTGGAAATTGTCTGACAAAGATTCGAATTCAGTCAAACTTTCCGTAAGTTCTTGTTTCAAATTAGAAATCTCAACAATTCGTTCAATAGCTGATTTGAATCTAGTCTGTGCTTGTACAAGTGATGTTGGTACCATCAGACCAAACCAGTTGAGGGGGTCATCTGCTAGTTTCACTGGACCTGGATCTTTCTCTTCTTCAGGTTCTGCGGATAATAGAGTTGATTTGTATAATAGGCATCATGTCCCCTATAATGTCGACAAATGTCGCCAAATGTTGCCGTGTCGACATTTGTCGACCTTGAGCGACGGTGCCAGCTACATGATGCCTTTTAATAATAAAATAAGTTTTAGCAGCTGTGTCAGAGCCGACCTTTTGTGCACTTTTATGTAAATTTTATGTAATTTGTACGTATTCATTAATAATAATTATGGTAATCAAAGAACTATAAAAAATATATCAGTCCAGTAATTACACTTTTCAATACGTTTGTGCTCGCTTATCAGTTACTTATCATTACGTTGATAAGACTTGCTTGTTTAACCGGTGCCGTGGTTGTGTGATGTATAAATCGGAGAAATACGTGGCTTATAAGCTTGATGAAGTGAAAGATGATCAATGATGCAGCTGAATGGATCCGGAAAACTCTTGGGATTGCTAAAGCAGATCATGTTAACGCGTGTGCAGCTCAGAGTTTCAGTGGTAAAAGAGAAATCTCCAGGGAAGTCATGGCTCAGAGTCTTAACGCTGCGTTAAAAGTTATGTATAGACAGTCGTTGTACATTAATCAGCTAGAGAAATATAATCAGAAATTGCACTCCGATGTAATTGACAGTCAGGGAACAGTAGTTGTATTGCAGAAAGAGCTGCTAGCTGCCAAAGACAAGCAGCTTGATGACTTGAAATCTGTGGTTGTAGCATCAGTCGAGGATACTGTGAAATCAGAGTTGAAGACATACAGCGCCGCAGTACAGGCATCAAAAACCTCAGCAGCAGGTCCTTTGTTGGACTCGGATAGAAACATTTTGAAGAATGTCATCAAGGATGTTGTGGCAGAAGGAGACCGAAGTCGGAATCTGATGTTATTTGGTATTAAAGAAGAGAAAGGTGAGCTGTTATGCGACAAGGTCGCTCAAGTGTTGTTGGAACTTGGCGAAAAGCCAAAAATAGAAGCTAGCAGAATTGGTTTGAATAAACCCAAGGATAAGAAACAAGTGGCTGACAGACCTGTTAAGGTGACTTTGACGAGCTCCACAATCGTGCAGCAGATTTTGACTAGAGCAAGGCATCTCCGTAGCTCAGAACTTTTCAGTAAAGTCTTTATCAGTCCAGATAGGTCTCCAGAGGAACGTGCCGAACAGCAAAAGCTTGTTTTAGAACTCAAGAAGAGATCAAACGACGAGCCAGATAAGAGACACTACATAAAAGGAGGCAAAGTGTGTAGTGTGGACAAAATTGTTGTTTTTAGTTTGAAATGTGTTAAGACAGAGTTTTGCTTGGATTTATGGATTCCTGGTTGGCTAAGATTTTAGTTTTTTTTGATAAGCTTCTAAATCATATTCGTCTTTCAACACAATCTCATTAAACTATATAAAAAAAAATTTAAAGAATAAGGAAAAGGAACGGGAATGAAGCCAATACCAGAAGTGAAACCCCACCAAAGAATAATTGATCCTTAGGTAGACCTGGTGAAATAAAGTAACTGAACTGTAAGTTTAAGAAAAGACGGAAGGAATAAAGGAGAGAGGAAATAATGTAATGTGAACATCATCAGCAGATGACTTGGCACACCGGTTTCGGGGGTTTAATACCTGTACCGGTTTAATGTGCCAAGACCCCCTAGCAATCACTCGTCAGTGATCACCTGTTCACGTTAAATGTGATGTCAAGGATGTCGCTGACATCAAGTATACTGTATTTGTACAGAATACTAGGTCGGTCTTTCAGAAGCTTTCTGAATTTACTCTTCAGGAGTCTGTCATTATAACATCTTGAAAGAAGTGTCCTATAAAGGGTGTTGGTAGAACACAGAAAAGAATCAAGGTCAGAGATAATGGAAGAGTAACGAAGGACCTGACCGTAAAAAACATTATAACCAACAGAAGAGGAAATATTACTGTTAGGAAAGGTGTACATGACCACAGGAAAGTTGAAGTCATCAAGTTTGTTGTAAAGCTTGGTGGCGACGTGTCCGGAGTTATTCATCGAGATGTTGATGTCGTCAGTCTTCTAGAATTTTGTTCATTCTAGAAGACTGTCAGTCTTCTAGAATTTTGTTTTGATTTGTGTATTAAGCAGATGTATTTAATCTTACTTCCAGGTCCATAATTTCGTGTGGAGTATATTTTTAGAGTTATTTAGGTTTTATATTAGCAGATTTAGGTATATAATTATTGTATATTATTGTATGTATAAATTCTTGAGTAAACATTAACCAGTAAACAAAGCTGGTTCCCAAAAAAAAAAAAAAAAAAAAAAAAATATATATATTACGTTGTAATTACGGTATAAGTGTGCTATTTATTTTAAAAATGTCAATCTGCACTACGAAGATTCTACCATGTGCTGCCTGTAGCTATAATAAAATTTGATCGGTATTATAATTAAATTTACTATAAAACTTGTGATATGCCAAAATACAGCTGTCATTTTATCATAATTTCACGGCAACTTTATGATTGCTAACAACCCATTTCATGGATTATTCTAGTTAACTTGTTATTTCAGCCAATTTAACCTATCCAGCTTGTTTATCAGCTATGCAGTTAAATTGATTCTTAAGGCTTAAAGTTGTTAACCTTTTTTGGAATGAGTTCGCCGATTTTTACATTCTCTTAAATTTGAGCAGTTGCTGTTTTCAAAGCATTGTATCTGCAGACGATCCTGTATCTTACTGGTTCGTTTGGATCAGCTTCATTCTAAATTGGTGCCCTAAAAGAACGGGGTAACTTTAAACTAATATCTGTTCTATGTGATCAAGTTGTAATTATATCCAAGAAACACTTGCCTGACACAGAGATTTAAGCTGCTGATTAGAATGTTAAAGACAATTAGACGTGTCAGAAAATGGCGCTGAAATAACTTTAAAAACTGTAACTGAGATCTAATTCTCTTTAATAATTGGCTTTTTATTCGATTTCATAGTTTCATAACTGCTATGCTATTTCAGGAATTCCAGGACTCCTCATTGGATTCTTTGGCCTGTTCGTAGGTCCGGGATACATCATAGCAGGTCCCTTTGATACGACCCACTACTTAAGAGAGAAATGTGGATTTGATCTGAAAGGTATCAGCTGTCTCATGCTGTGTCTAGCTACAACCTACTGCTCTGGTATTGGCATGGCAGGGCTTGTCTCCATGTCTATCATGCTGATATTCAGACTACTACAAGAAGCTACTAATCTAAGTGGTATGAAGATGGTAGTTGAGGGATGTAATGTGTGGTTCCAAGAGAAGTTCATGCTGGTTCTAGGTGTTATTAACGGGGGTTGTTACTCGGGAACAGCTATAGCTAGTGTCTTATCAGTATTTTGAGAATTGGACTATAATCACCTTTTTGGTAGCCAGCACTATGTGAGCAGGTATTCTTATTTTCAACCTTGTAATGCTGCCTTGTAATGCTGCCTTGTAGAGAGAATTCCCTGCTTTCACAAAACGTTGGAGAGGATTTCTTAACTTTGTCAACAGAAGCTGGTTTCAACATTTAATGTGAAAATGAAAGCGGTATGGGAGAGAAGAAGCAAGGCTCAGTGTGTGATTTAACACCCACTATAATGTTCCTTTTTGGGAACCGTATGGGTAACGCCAGCGGCGGAGAGACGACAACATCGCCCTCCGTAATGTTTACCTCAGCTGCAGGACGATCCCTGTTTGCTACACTCCTCATCAGCTTCGCCACCTTTAACATACGTGGCCTCGGTTCTTGTGATGATCCAGACGACATCCACAGTAAACGGGAGCAACTGGGTACCGATTGTCTACGGTACGGCATAGATATCTGCGCTATTCAGGAGACTAAGGTTGTAAAACCGGATTCTTGCAGTCTTAGCAACGGATACAAACTCTTATTGTTTGAGCAGAAAAATGGCCGGCACTATGGACTCGGTTTTGTTATCAGTCCCCGATTTATTGACTATGTGGTATGCTGGAACAGTATCAGTGATCGAGTAAGCTTTTTGGACCTAGAACTCCCTACAAAATCTGGAAAATTTATCAAATGTAGGGTGGTCAATGTATATGGGCCACACAAGAAACTTGCAGAAAATGATCAACAACTGTTGATTAATTTTTATGGCCAAGTTAGGGACGCTCTAAACGTCCCTGCTAATGTTGAGATATTTGTTTTGGGAGATTTTAATTCAAAGTTGGGAAAAATGACTGCTTCAGATAAGGACTTTGGTTTTGGTCGTTTCATGGGTAAACATGGTATGGGTTTGCGCAACGATATGGGAGAAAACTTGTTAGACTTGTTATCAGAATTTGACCTCTTTGCCTCCAACACTGGTTTTTATCATCCTGCCCGACATACGACCACCTACACTGGCTGGAGGAAGGACTGGAGTGCCGGGCGAAATAGTAAAAAGACGATCCCGGTCTATTCTCAGATCGATTTCATCCTGTGTCGAAGTAGGTCGAAGCCAATGCTACAAGATTCTAGATCTTATGCAGGCACCTTGACATACTCTGATCACAGATTTGTTGTCACTAGAGTAGATTTTAAGGACATCTGTCTGTGCTATAAACGCCACTCCAAGTCATCCTTAAAGTTCAACACCTCTGAACTCACCTCGAACCCCACCATTCAGGTGAAATATCGTCAATCCTTAGATGATAACTTAAGTAACACTGTTTCTGCTCTGGATCCAAATTCAGACTTGAATGGCTTACTTGAGTCCATAAAGGATGCTGCAAAATCGTCACTTGGTGTCATCAGACACAGGAAACGTAATCGCAGCGACGATGATGAGGTGAAAAACTTATCTAGCCAGCGTTACTTGTTGAGACAGCAGCTTAATGATAACCAGTCTTTAGACAGAACCTCACTTAGATCATCTATTAACTGCCTCACCAATCAGATCAAGCAGAGACTTTCTAACATACGATCAGCTGCTGCTGATGCTATCTGTAATACCATCAGTTCAACAACAGATAGTAAGAAAATGTTTGAAGCTGTTCGAACCCTGAACTTACCTAAAAGTAAAGCCCCTTCTAGTATTGGTGTTCATGATGAGCAAGGGTGCAATATTGCAACAGACACTGGTAAAGCTGCCGTAGTTGCTAAGTACCTTGAGCAACAACTTACTCGTGATGAAGCACCTTTAGAACCTTTTGTAGGACCTCCTCGCCCACTAGTTAAGCCATTCACTAGTGAAGAAATCGGATCAGCTGCTAGAAGTCTCAAAAATGGTCGAGCTAACGGCCCAGATGGGATTCCTAATGAGCTTCTCAAGTATTCTACTGGATCAGTACACAGACGTTTTGCAGACATTATCAATAGAAGCTTCGAGACCAATTCCTACCTTGACCCCATTGGACAAGCAAACATTACCCCCTTACAGAAGCCAAATAAGCCCATTGGTCCAGTGAAGAATCTACGACCCCTCACTCTCTCAAATGCTGTTAGAAAGATTCTTTCAATGGCAACCTTGAAGAGAATTGAGAATAAAGTCAATGCCTTCACTGGTCCATGGCAATGTGCTTACAAGCAGGGTAGATCATGTGCTGACATTGTATGGTGCCAGCGTGTGATGTTATCAGTTGTCCAGAGGAAGAGGTGGGAATACCATCGCATGGGGATCGACATGTCTAGTGCCTTTGACACTATACGACGATCTACCATCCTCGATCTTCTTGTTGAGTGTGGCTGTGATGATGACGAAGTCCGTTTGGTAAGACTTTTGCTTTCCAACACCAAGCTCAAAGTCAACATCAACGGTACACTGTCTGCTGAATTCCAGAGTTTTCTCGGTGCATTCCAAGGTGACTGTCTGTCTGGATGCTTGTTCACACTTGTCTTAGCGGGTGCCTTGCGTGACCTCCGTAACAGGCTTGAAACTGCAACGAATAGGCCTAACCCACCTATCACCGATATTGGTCTTCCACTTGACAGTGAGTATGCTGATGATATCGACTTCAATGATGAAGATGAAGACAATCTGAGGGAGCTGTTGCCTATTGCAACAGAAGTCCTTAAAGATTGGAATCTCTTCGTTAACGAAGACAAAACTGATTTCACTCATGTGTACTTAGCTGAAAAGGGAGCTAAAGACGATCAGGGTAAGCCAATTGCAGGGAACGAGCTCTGGAGAAAGAGTATCACGCTTGGCTCCATGCTTTGTAGTAAGGAGGACATCTCTAGAAGGATATGTCTGGGATATGCCGCGTTTAACAAATACAAGAAAGCTTGGAACCATAAGATCCCTCTGAGCAAGAGGCTTCTGTTGTATGAGGCTCTGGTAGTATCCGTTTTAATGTACAATTCATCTTGCTGGGCTGCCCCTAAATCAGTATTGAAAAAACTAGATATTGCTCACAGACGTCATCTGCGATCAATTTTGAATTACAAATACCCTCACATCATCTCCAACAAGAACTTGTATAAACGCTGCAATAGCGAACCATTGTCAGCTAAAGTGGCTCGTAGTCGGTGGAGGATGCTCGGACATGTACTGCGTGGGCCTACAGATGGCCCTGCCTATTCGTCGCTTGTTTTTGCTGTCAACACCTTACAGCTTCAAGGGCGGCGTGGAAGACCGCAGTCAAACCTTTTCTCACTGATTCTACACGACCTTAGTGTCCGAAAATTATCGTTAAATAATTTATGTGATTTGAACTATTTAACGTTAATTGCTCAGAATAGAGTTAAATGGAGAAGTATGCAAATTGCATGACTTTTGTTTGAGAAAGATTAGGGGACAGAAATGTTTACTTTGTTTACTATCTGTTTCTTAGAACTTTTGTTTATATATAATGTTCCTCATGATAGTTACTTTTCTAGAGGATGGTATCGGGGGTTACTCAATGTCAATAGTGTCTCCTTGTCTAACAGAAGTGGCAGGAACCTCAGTCTCACAAGGTGAAGTAAATATGTGATGTTTCTAACTCTGGCTATAGCAGCTGGCTCCATGATGTCTGGTCTCCTCTTGCAGCTGAAGATCTAGTCTTCTCCTCTCCTCAGTTGATTTGTATTTCAGGTCTGATTGCTCGGATTATGGCTACTTTTCCCTGGACAGACAGTAGGGTCACTTCATGATAATGTCCGCATAGCGTACAGTGCTTTTATATTGATAGGTTGTGGAGGAATACTGGGAGAAATGGTAGCAATCAAAGCTAAGGCAGGGGGATGGGAGCCAAAGACAGGTCCGTATCATCTGGTCTGTTCTACACCATTGACCATGGTAACAAACGGTATGAGTGTAGGAAGTTATTTTTCTATTGTTGTGTTACATTATTTGAGTTATCAACAGGAGGCTTTTATATTGATAGGGTGCTTGGAGGTAATTTTACTTATAGGGGTCGTTTTAGAAGTCCTTCTGAGAACAAATATTGTGAGAAAAGTTATCTTCGTAGAGTCTTAAGAATTCGTACATTCCGATTCAAAGGGGTGTTATTTTCTTGAGCAATAGACCTAATCTTAGATTATGTCAACTTCAACATTTATTGGTTTTCTAGGCTGATAAGTGGAAATGTGTAATTTGCTATTTAGAACGAAATTGAGAAACTTTAGTTGTTTTTTTCCCATTCCTCCAGGAAAAACAAAAATGTATTACATGCAGTGAGAGTTAAATTCAGTAAAAAATAAGTACCTTTAGAGGTCTCTTCTGTCTTCTCCTTCTCACATTCTTTACCAACTTTCTTCCTTTTCCTAATTCCTGACTTGGGATCTGGTTTAGTTGTGACCAATGAAAACCTCTCATTTTCAGTTACATCAAGGAATGAGGTGGGAGTAATCTCGTGTACTCCTGGTTCTGGTAGATATGTGGAGTTCATCGAACTGCAACCTGAAATTGTCAGTGTCAGAACATAGTTATATTGTTAGATCAGCTATTGACAGATTGATTAAACAAATGATCTTCACAGACCAGAATTTTTAAGATTTCATAATCATGATCAAAACAATCTATGCTCACACAAAGCCAATCGATGGTGTTAATTTTAAGATTGAACACTAACTCGTGCTATGACTTAATTATTGAAGCATATGGGCTTGGATATTGGAGGACAGATTGAGTTGTGTCTCAATGAAAGGAAATTGAGGAATATTTAATAAACATACCTGAATCATATTGTGCTCTCGATAGTAGGATATGTCCATCTTGAATGACAGCACACAATTCAATGAGCAGCTGTTCATAGTCTGAAATCTTGTCAAGCACTTTAAAAACATCTGCATCTGTCACTGTGGGATTCATAGTTTCCTATGATGAATCAGGACTAGTTACGTGATTGCTGATTAGATGAGATAGTTACTTAGGGATAGGTGGCCGAATGGTTAGGTCCAGGGTCCAAATCCTAGATTTAATATCATAATCATGGTATGATTTTTATACATGCTACACATCTTATATGCCATGGCTGGTCGACAGGCCAGGGTAAAAGTTAGGGGTAATCACGTGCAGTTTATCTGTGGCACATTTTCATTTTACCTTCACCTGGTAGGGATTCTTATGCAATGTTGTCCAGTCAACTCAGCCAAATTATAAAAATAACCGTGATTCAAAGTTAAATGAGGAAGGACCTTACCCGTATATTTGATGGTACCCTTCAAAATATTTATTAGCGCACACAATACTTTTAATCAGTGATAAGTAATAATAATAATAACTTAAACTTTTATATTAGTGGCACAACAACTTAAAATGCACAAGTGTGCCACGAAAACAGTTTAGGATACAATAAAACCTGAAAAAGCAACCCACATTATATTCTAAACCAGATAAGGGTGATTAGACTTGATACACTAAATAAACGATAATGTATATGCATTTTCCAGTTGAACCAATTAGGGAAAACTAGGATTGAAAAATATTAAGATACGATATTATTAGCATGTTTTTCAGATACACTTTAAAAGATTCCAATGTTGTACAATTCTTAATCTCAAGTGGTAGTTCTTCCATAATTAAGTGTATAACATGCCCCACGAAACACCTCACCAAACCTGGGATGAGTGGCTCAACGATAGAGGAGCGCTCTACACGCTCACAGGCTACCAAGTCTCTTGTAACCCTAGGACTCTAACACTTAACAGACTCTAACACTCTCACAGGCTTCCACGTCTCGTGTAGCCCCAGGATTCGACACGTTCACAGACTACCACGTCTGCGTGTAACCCCAGGATTTAACACGCTCACAGGCTACCACGTCTCGTGTAACCCTAGGATTTAACGCGCTCACAGGCTACCACGTCTTGTGTAACCCTAGGACTCTTAGAACACTTAACAGACTCTAACACACTCACAGGCTTCCACGTCTCGTGTACCCTAGGATTTGGTTTAGGATCGGACACTCAAAATAACGATAGAGGAGCGGTTACACGCTCACAGGCTACCATGTCTTGTGTAACCCCAGGATCTTACACGTTCACAGGCTACCACGCCTCGTGTAACCTGGCCCTAGGTTTTGGTTTTGGATTGGACACTCAAAACAACAATAGAAGAGCGGTCTAGACGCTCACAGGCTACCATGTCTTCTGTAACCCCAGGATCTTACACGTTCACAGGCTACCACGCCTCGTGTAACCTGGCCCTAGGTTTTGGTTTTGGATTGGACACTCTAAACAACAATAGAAGAGCGGTCTAGACGCTCACAGGCTACCATGTCTCGTGTAACCCTAGGATTTAACATGCTCACAGGCTACGACGTCTCGTGTAACCCCAGGATTTAACACGCTCACAGGCTACCATGTCTGGTGTAACTCTAGGACTCTAACACTTAACAGACTCTAGCACGCTCACAGGCTTCCACGTCTCGTGTACCCTACGATTTGGTTTTGGATCGGACACTCAAAACAACAATAGAGGAGCAGTCTACAGTGACGTTGCAGGAAAATTACATACTCCTACGAGTTGTACGTAGCAGGCCATGACCTCCCCTGGAAGTCCCTGTCTCTCCGTCGTTAACCCGGCGGGGTTGCACCAGGGGCGGTGGTAACCGAACTTCAAGACTCTCGGAGTCTGTTGTCGATATCTATGTTTAATATATTCATGGTATATAATTTGGGAGTCTCTCTCTCCGGCAGCAGGAGTTGGAGAATGTGGACGCGTTGTGAAAGCCACCGTAAGGAAGGCTTACTGTCGACGCCGACCAATCTATAGAAAAAGTGTATAACTTATAAGCTGGCTCAGAAATTTAGTCTTTGATTTTGGTAAATCGGTACCATGAGTTAAATTAGGTATCAAATTAAAATGTGGACAGTAAAATTCACCGGGAAGCAAGTTTAGGTCAAACATCAAAATAACCTTTATACTAGCGCACATTGCAAGTGTATGTAATAGACCAATATGGTTAATTTCACGTATCAAATACATACAAAGTAAGTAACAATGTCCGTCAATATAATAATACTTCACAACTTGGCATAAATTTTTGTACATTTTTGTTAAATAAATCCATAAAATTTTTAAAATGGATCACGCAACGTATGCAAAAAGTTTGAAAAATAAAAAGCGCGACTCACTAAGAATATTTTTGTACCACGTTGTGACCCAAAGTTTGCTCTATCCAGAGCCCTTGCGCTTGCAGTAGCGCGTGCCCGACTTGTGGGACAAGCGCGCCCGCAGCGGCGCGCAAAAGCACTTGTATCACGTTGCGACCCCATGGTCGTTTCACTATGGTGACTTGCTCTAACCAGAAGCCCTCTCGCTTGCAGTAGCGCGCGACCATGCCGTAGCTGCAGTAGCTGCGTGACGCCGTTGTGAAACAAGCGCGTCACGCAGTACACGTATACACATGGCTATGTGAAAATGGTGACCGATACAGGGGGAGCCGCGCACTCGTGCGCGGCGGGCCATACAACATATGACAACACATAGCCATGTGACTACGCGTACTGCGTGACGCGCCTTATATTACTTGTTTCATGGCCGCGCGCCTACTGCAAGCGAGAGGGCTCTGGTTAGAGCAAAACTTTTTGTAATAAATTTATCAAAATCAAAAAATAAATCACGTATATGCCAAAAATTTGATAAAACATTAACAGTGCAGCGCGTTTAGTATAATAGAGGAAAACAAATTTTAGGAAACAAATTTAAATTCTGGTATTTATTAATAACAATCAAAACATATCATATCATAAAAATAAAGCCGCGCGTTGGTTGAATGCCTTAAGTAAGGTAAATACTTTTAAGCTTGAAGGTGCCCTGCGCATTTACAAAACCTCATGTGGCGATCACATGATCACGAGGACTTGTGAGCGCAAAAGGGGTGGATATGTATCATCCTTCGCCACAACTCATGAGGGATGTGATAGCAGAGCTATTAGAAACTGCTGGCTGTAAAGATGTTACCACTGAACCTCTCCTCATTCCTGTCAACGGAGAGAACTTCCCTGCAGGGGCCAACAAAGCAGATGGAGCTAGATTAGATGTTAGTGCTAGGAGTGTATGGAACTCATTGGAAAGGGCATTTTTAGATGTAAGAGTATTTCATGCTCAAGCTCCCTTCCAATAAGGCTTTTGGATCTCCAACCCACTAAGTACAATACTCACGAGAGACAGAAAAAGAAATTTATACAATAAAAGGATTGTAAAAGTGGAACATGGACGTTTACACCGATAGTCCCCTATTATATTCAACCACGGGGGGTATGGGAAGGGAAGCTAATAAGTTCTTCAAGAAATTAGCGGAATAAACTTTCTAGGAAATCAGGCCAACGGTATAGTGAGGCAATGACATTTATTAGGAAGAGAGTAAGATTTGACCTATTGAGAACAACAGTCTAGTCATAGCTCTTAGAGGAGAGAGAGGGTTAAAAAGTAGTAGTGCAGTAAAAATAGCAGAATTTAGGTATAAAATTTGGAGCCAGTTCTTCTAAAACTGGCTTGCTTATACGTAATCTTAAAGGGTGTTTATAAATTTTATTTAGTGTTCTAATGAATTTATATTGAATTTTTATATAGGGTAATTATTATATTATGTGTATATTGTTTGAATAATTACCCTATATAAAATTCAATATAAATTCAGTAGAACACTAAATAAAAATTTATAAACACCCTTTAAGTAGTATAAGTAAGCCAGTTTTAAAAGAACTGGCTCCAAATTTATACCTAATTCTGCTATTTTTACTGCACTACTACTTTTTAACCCTCTCTCCTCTAAGAGCTATACTAGACTGTTGTTCTCAATAGGTCAAATCTTACTCTCTTCCTAATAAATGTCATTGCCTCACTATACCGTTGGCCTGATTTCCTAAGAAAGTTTATCCGCTAATTTCCTTGAAGAACTTATTAGCTTCCCTTCCCATACCCCCCCGTGGTTGATATAATAGGACTATCGGTGTAAACGTCCCATGGTCCACTTTTACAATCCCTTTTATTGTATAAATTCTTTTTCTGTCTCTCGTGAGTATTGTACATATGGGTTGGAGATCCAAAGCCCTTATTGGAAGGAGCTTGAGCATGAAATACTCTTACATCTAAAAATGCCCTTTCCAATGAGTTCCATACACTCCTAGCACTAACATCTAATCTAGCTCCTTCTGGCTTTGTGGCCCCTGCAGAAGTTCTCTCCCGTTGACAGGAATGAGGAGAGGTTCAGTGGGTAACATCTTTACAGCCAGCAGGTTTCTAATAGCTCTGCTATCACATCCCTCAATGAGTTGTGGCGAAGAGATACATATCCACCCTCTTTGCGCTCACAAAGTCCTCGTGATCATGTGATCGCCACATGAGGTTTTGCTAAATGCGCAGGGCACCTTCAAGCTTAAAATATTTACCTTACTAAGGCAGTCAACCAACGCGCGGCTTTATTTTTATGTATGATATGTTTGATTGTTATTAATAAATACCAGAATTTAAATTTGTTTTCCTAAAATTTGTTTTCCTCTATTATACTAAACGCGCTGCACTGTTAATGTTTTTTCAAATTTTTGGCATATACGTGATTTATTTTTGATTTTGATAAATTTATTACAAAAAGTTTGCTCTAACCAGAGCCCTCTCGCTTGCAGTAGCGCGCGGCCATGAAACCAAGTAATAAAGCGCGTCACGCAGTACGCCGTAGTCACAGGCTATGTGTTGTCATATGTTGTATGGCCCGCCGCGCACGAGTGCGCGGCTCCCCCTGTATCGTCACCATTTTCACATAGCCATGTGTTATACGTGTACTGCGTGACGCGCTTGTTTCACAAGCGCGTCACGCAGCTACTGCAGCTACGGCGGTCGCGCGCTAACTGCAAGCGAGAGGGCTCTG